TGAAAGGGCCTGCCACGAGTAATGATGGGTTGGAGGACGACAGTTTTTTGGCACCATTCGTCGAGAAGCCCTTCGATATGTTTTGCCCAGTGCATGCCAGTCTAGTAGGATGTTCCTTTTTGTGTTTAAAGGGTGGCTCCATTGTCGACCTACCGGGTGCTTCCAGCAACCATAGGTGACCACGCTGTTTTACCTCTACGTTTTGCATGACCATCGCTTGGGGTTACTTAGTTGGGATAGCCTCTGTTCAACAATGGAAGCTAACAGGAAGGTTTGACAAACGACAGTCTTCTTGACAAAAGGCCTGTCCGCTTCCCTGCTGGTTGGAAAGCAGGTAGCGTCGTCCTTTCAAGGAAGTTCCCTATGCTGACCAGAAGCGCGCATATCTGCAGGTCAGGAAGCGTTTCACTTGACAAAAAACTTGGAGGCTTCAGCCTCCAAACAATGGGCTCTGTGTCAAGTGGAGCATTGCCATTACATTCCTTGTGGCGGGTGAGCTGAACCCCGGATTGATTCACAGGTTGGATGACCCGTTCAATGGGTTCGAACGAATGAGTTCCTTTCCTCACTTCTTGAGTGGGCTGGCCAAAAAAGTCCAAACCTTGCCCCCAAATGGTCTTCCCAACAAAGCTTAAAGTCCATGAGCTCAAGGAGTGAGTTTCGGATGCTAGACACATTGTTGTCCTTTGGTGCAAGCTGAAAATTATTTTCTCAGAGCCCGTTTCGGATCCAAGGGAAGACCTCTGTTTTTTGGGAGGTTGCTTGCCCAATCCCCTCAAAAAAATGGGACACCTTGTCAATCAATCAGGATTGAATCCATCACCCCTTGGGCCATCTTCTTTTTCCCCCCTCGCAGCGCGCGATGCCCCGAGCGATGCTAGCTCATCGCGTGAGAAGTAAACCTGGCGGGTCGCCCGTTGCCCGGGGCGACGGGATTTGTGCCCCGCTCCTCAAGGCTTCTGGTGGTCCTTTGGTTTCCCTTTATAACCACCAAAGATGGGGTACCCTCCACACCAAAAAATGTCAAGACCACTTGTCTGCACACTCTCCTTTCGATTTCTTTCAGGACACCTGTTCAGTGGGCCAACTGGTCCAAGAATTGGCTCACTCCAAACGTTTGGCCGCGGACATGACGTAGATGGAGAAGGCCAGCAAGGAGGAGCTGGCCTTGGTGCCTTCGAGCGCCAAGTTCACGCAGTACTCGCAGTAGTTGGGGTCTTGGGACATCACCTCCGCAAAGGTTTTGCCCTTGTGCTTTCCGAAGCCCAACACCCATTGGCCATCCACCAGCTTCCCCTGCTGGCCCTGGTCAGACCGGTCATACTGGCCATACTGGCCCTTGGCACTCGGGCCCTGGCCCTTGACACTCGAAGGAGAAAACCGAGTTGGGGAGGATGGAGATGGAGCAACGCCCTTTCCCTGCAAATACTCCCCCAGCGCCCTGGAGGCCGGGCTCTGGTTCTCAGCCTTCTCCAACTTCTCGGTGTAGCTCTTGACAAACCAGCTGCACCACCCTGGCTGCGTCTCGAAGAGTTGCTGGTAGCTCAGTGCAGCATGCTTGCCAAACCCCACGAGCTGATCTCCGCTCGCCTCCGGCGCCGCAAAGGCCCGCAGCCCGGAGCCGGCCGAACGCATGGCGGGACGCAGGAGTCGCAACATGGCAGGACCGGGACCGTCTGGATTCAAACCAAGATGCTCCCAAGTCAAGTTTGCTCGAGCTTCTCGAGTGTATTCAGTTTCCTACTTGGTGGTTTGGAGCCCGCTGCTGGTTGAAGAACCAGGGTTCAATGCCCCAAAGCACCAGTCCAAACCGCCAATCAAGGGCAACCTGCTGTATGGGGAACATATAGTAACCCCAAAAAATCACCAGCTGGTTTAGTTTGAGGCCGTCAGGGTCCCGTGCCCCATCTCCCAGTTCAAAAAGAGAAAGTCACTGAACGAATTTATTGAGCAAACTCCAAACAAAAAGGATCGAGCGAGTCATGGGCGTCGCTTGGTCGCTATCAAGGTTATCCCCACCCTGCGAATCATTCACATAGCTGTCCTTTTTGGAAAATAGATGGGTTTCTCTGGTAGATGATTGAACCAGGTAAACCAGGAATCGCCTTCTATTTTTCTAGCAAAACCAAAAAGGACACCCTGCGAATCAAACAAACGGCGCTTTAGGGTAGTTGACGCGCAGTGGCCCATCATTCACGGCGGGTTTCTGGGCCTCTTGGGTTCCAAGGGAAGCCGCCGATCGCCCCCCTCCTTTTCATGGACAAAACCTGGGTGATTTCAACGGGAACCCCCTCCTCCCTCCTTTTCAAACAGGCAAAACCTGGTGGCTGTTTCTATTTTTGCTGGAAACCCCCCCCCCCCCCCGCCTTTTCAAAGTTGAAAGGGCACCACTCAGTTGGCACGGCACGGCGCCCCTCTTTCCGCCTGGTGGGCTGCCAGCGTGGCCCGCACCTCCTCGCAGCCGCAGGCCACCGAGTGCAGAAGCCCTGCGTTTTCACCGCTCGGTGCAAAATCCAAACACCCGCCGAGTGGGAGACATATCTTTGGGTGCCTGTACTTCTCCACAAATGCGCTGGGGTAGCCTTTGTTTCGGATGGTGGCCTGTGTTGAGGGCTTGTTTTCTCTCTCTTTGTTCGGATGGCAGATCATGGAACCCTAGCCTTTTAAAGGCGAGTAGTCAAGGTAGCTAGACCGTTTTTTGCCGAAAGACCATATTTTTTGCGCCTAGCCCTCAATACTTCAAACCTCACACTTCTGCTACCGAAGTGATCCTAAACTATGTGTTCCCTGGTCTCCCAAAAGCGGTCCAAAGTGGTCGAGGTCGCTCAACCATAAGATGGTTAGAGGCATGTTTTGCACTTCTCTGAAAATTCAACCTTTGCAAGCTTGCATGCCTTTATTCTTTGTGGCGATATGTGGTAGTATGTTTCATCCAACTGGCCCAACTCGCCAACTCTCAAGATTGCACTTCCGCTGGCTGAAGTAGATAGCATTGCTGTGCACACAAGAGCAACAGTTTTCTTTAGAGCGGCCTTGCATGCCCCGTGTTTTGTCAATATGCTTTTTCATAGAGTTATTCAGCCGAGGTGGTAACATGACTTGAGCCAAAAACAATGTATGATAATAGTGTCAAACGCGAACAGATCGGAAACGATTGCGCGCAGCTCACCACCAGCCCAGCACACGAAGCACAACCATTTCAATTGAAGGTTGCCCGGCATATGATCCTAGATTGTCCATGCTTTTTGTGTATAGCCTTTCCACGCCGTTTTATTGCCTTTCCACACCTCTTTATGGTCTTTCCACGGATTGTCCATGGTTTGTCCATAGTTTGTCCATGGTTTGTCCACGGTCATGTCATTTTCCAGAGCATGCATGTTTTTGAAGCTAGGGATCATGCGGACAGTCAATATCTTGAGCTAGCCGCTGAACAGTGTTCACTGAATTTGTGTTCAGACCTTTGCCAGAAGCTCAGAAAGTTCTGCATTCAAGGATGGCAGTGAGCTGCATGGTCAAAAACATGCATGCTGCTATAGTTAATGTGTCACATAGCCACATGTCTAATCCAATCATGAAAACAAATCAAACCGTCATTTGGAAAGCACATATCACGGGTTTTTCAAGTGACCTCACCTCACCAAGGAGCTACTGAAACTACATCCGCAGTGTTCCTGTGAGCTTAACTTCCAGGGGTCCACCATGTCCACTCGGACGAGGGCCTCACGATTTTGTTCATAGCCTTTGTGTCTCAATATAAAATATGCTCGAAGGCCAGGGCGTTGCAGGTAGGACAAGATTCCCCAGCCCTCCTTTTTTAAGGTCGAGGGACATTACGCTTGTAGCCTTTCGTTCTTGAATGGTCGAGGCCGTGAAAAAAGATTAGCCGAGGAAGCACTCGGGGTAGTCTGTGGGTTGTCTTCACTTTGGAAGGGGAACTTTCTGCTTGTCAACTCCACACATAAGGGATCCCGCGATTTTCGTAGATTTGATGTCGCAATCTGCCTTGCGAGGTGGGCACGTTCTGCATTGACTAGTGTGCCTATTTTGATGGTACCCTGGTTGGCTTGGTTTGCAGGGAAACTAGAGGATGTTTTCTTCCGATTGGGCATCCCATTTGGAAGGGGTGCTCTTAAGAAGAAAAACAGTAGGGGGTGAGGGAGTCTCTGTTTGGGCTCACTGGCTTTCACCAAGCGTTGAGACTGCGGGATAACAATACTTCCTATTCATTTCACGCGAAAACAACACGTCCTCGCTTTCCTGAAGCTGCCCGCAGTTTTGTATGCAGTATGCATATGTCACTCTACCAGGCACTGGCCTTGAATTTGTGATTCCCGAAATCGGCACAGGGAATCACGCATTCTTCACCATCTTCTGGTCTTAGAGGCCCCAGTTATATAAGAGGGGTGGGGGGACAACAGTTTCTCTTCGCCAAACATGACCTTTCCCTAGGCCCTATGGGTCCTACTTTGTCAGGATGTACCAAGTGAGCCTTTCTGACCCCTTGCGTCAGGTACCAAAACCACCCTTTGGGTTCCGCCTGGAGCTCTTCGGCAGCTTTCAGTGCGATGTATTGCCCATGCATGCAGAAAAAAAAAAAAACAGAGCATGCCGGAGATAGATTCTAGGTTGTATGCCAGGTCCACATGAGAAACAACATGCTTTTCACACCAACAACCTCAAATCGAGACAACAAAAAGAGCATCAACTTCAAAAAGCTGGCCTCTGTAACGTGGCTTTTCGATACTAGTTCCTCCACTAGAGAGGTTCGAATAAGGGCACCCTTTTTTCTGTAGTCTATTTTAATAGGAGAACCCCTCCCCAAAAAAAGGGGAGAGAAGGGCACGACTGGGGGACCTAGGCTAAAATCCGTTTGGCTGTCTGAACCACCTGCCCTCACCGCCCCACGGCTCCGCGCTTTTGCTCCTCGCGCGGAGCTCCGCGCCTGAGATCTGCCGCTCCAGCAGCACGGAGGTCTCCAGCAGCGGCTTCGGATCCGCCATGGGCCGGATCCGAAGAAGGAGGATGGGAAAGCGTAGATCTCCGCTGGCCAGAATGTCGACATATCTAGTGGTATACAAGATATATATATATATATACACACACTATAATTATGTATATTATGTATTATTTAAGGCAAGATAAGCATGATGTACATAATGCGCCTTGCACAAGCACTTGGGTAGATGTGAAACAGTGCATACCGGTGCTTCTGATTCGCGGGAGAGGCATATTTCTGAGCGGCTTCTCGAGTACTTGGGCGGCCGCCTGGTGCAGGGGATCCGCAAGAAGCTATGGCTGTGGTGGTCAAAACCGTTTTGCGATCCCATTTTGGGCTAGGTGAATTCACCACCCATTCTCGTCCGTTTTAGTGGGGATTGGGATGTTCACTGGGGGTACGGGATTTGGACCCATGGCCATAGTTGAGCGATGCCGAAAATAGGGTAAAACTGCTTTCGCGACAAATTGCACGATGCTTTCGCGACCACACGTTTCACTGTCGCGGGCATGTGTTAGTGTAATGATCACTTTCGCGACACTTTCGCGGCGGGCTTCTCTTCAACCACTTTCTCCTCAAGCTTTTGCGGGCTTTCGCGCTCGTTCTAGCTTTCGCGAGGCTTCGTCAGGAGAGGCCCTCAATCAACTCCTTTCAGAAGGCCTTTTGGCGTTGCCCAATTTGGAGGTTGGTTAGGCCCCCAAGACTGCTCCAAACGGCCACAGGTGGGTAAAAACCGGGCGCAACAAAAAGGGGAAACCACACCGCATATGTTACGCACGTTTCAGACGCGTCAGTCAATCATTGAACTCACTCAAGCCTGTTGAGCAAGAGCGCGGTTTGGAACTAAATCAATGCATCAAGGCATTGAATCCGCCGGCTACGCACCTGCAGAAGAAAACATCATGGGCTTTCGGTTCGCAAACCGCCAGGTGGGACAATCATTTGCCCAAGTCAAGCTTTGGCCTCTCCTTTGAAAGGGCCTGCCACGAGTAATGATGGGTTGGAGGACGACAGTTTTTTGGCACCATTCGTCGAGAAGCCCTTCGATATGTTTTGCCCAGTGCATGCCAGTCTAGTAGGATGTTCCTTTTTGTGTTTAAAGGGTGGCTCCATTGTCGACCTACCGGGTGCTTCCAGCAACCATAGGTGACCACTGTTTTACCTCTACGTTTTTGCATGACCATCGCTTGGGGTTACTTAGTTGGGATAGCCTCTGTTCAACAATGGAAGCTAACAGGAAGGTTTGACAAACGACAGTCTTCTTGACAAAAGGCCTGTCCGCTTCCCTGCTGGTTGGAAAGCAGGTAGCGTCGTCCTTTCAAGGAAGTTCCCTATGCTGACCAGAAGCGCGCATATCTGCAGGTCAGGAAGCGTTTCACTTGACAAAAAACTTGGAGGCTTCAGCCTCCAAACAATGGGCTCTGTGTCAAGTGGAGCATTGCCATTACATCCTTGTGGCGGGTGAGCTGAACCCCGGATTGATTCACAGGTTGGATGACCCGTTCAATGGGTTCGAACGAATGAGTTCCTTTCCTCACTTCTTGAGTGGGCTGGCCAAAAAAAGTCCAAACCTTGCCCCAAATGGTCTTCCCAACAAAGCTTAAAGTCCATGAGCTCAAGGAGTGAGTTTCGGATGCTAGACACATTGTTGTCCTTTGGTGCAAGCTGAAAATTATTTTCTCAGAGCCCGTTTCGGATCCAAGGGAAGACCTCTGTTTTTTGGGAGGTTGCTTGCCCAATCCCCTCAAAAAAATGGGACACCTTGTCAATCAATCAGGATTGAATCCATCACCCCTTGGGCCATCTTCTTTTTCCCCCCTCGCAGCGCGCGATGCCCCGAGCGATGCTAGCTCATCGCGTGAGAAGTAAACCTGGCGGGTCGCCCGTTGCCCGGGGCACGGGATTTGTGCCCCGCTCCTCAAGGCTTCTGGTGGTCCTTTGGTTTCCCTTTATAACCACCAAAGATGGGGTACCCTCCACACCAAAAAATGTCAAGACCACTTGTCTGCACACTCTCCTTTCGATTTCTTTCAGGACACCTGTTCAGTGGGCCAACTGGTCCAAGAATTGGCTCACTCCAAACGTTTGGCCGCGGACATGACGTAGATGGAGAAGGCCAGCAAGGAGGAGCTGGCCTTGGTGCCTTCGAGCGCCAAGTTCACGCAGTACTCGCAGTAGTTGGGGTCTTGGGACATCACCTCCGCAAAGGTTTTGCCCTTGTGCTTTCCGAAGCCCAACACCCATTGGCCATCCACCAGCTTCCCCTGCTGGCCCTGGTCAGACCGGTCATACTGGCCATACTGGCCCTTGGCACTCGGGCCCTGGCCCTTGACACTCGAAGGAGAAAACCGAGTTGGGGAGGATGGAGATGGAGCAACGCCCTTTCCCTGCAAATACTCCCCCAGCGCCCTGGAGGCCGGGCTCTGGTTCTCAGCCTTCTCCAACTTCTCGGTGTAGCTCTTGACAAACCAGCTGCACCACCCTGGCTGCGTCTCGAAGAGTTGCTGGTAGCTCAGTGCAGCATGCTTGCCAAACCCCACGAGCTGATCTCCGCTCGCCTCCGGCGCCGCAAAGGCCCGCAGCCCGGAGCCGGCCGAACGCATGGCGGGACGCAGGAGTCGCAACATGGCAGGACCGGGACCGTCTGGATTCAAACCAAGATGCTCCCAAGTTTGCTCGAGCTTCTCGAGTGTATTCAGTTTCCTACTTGGTGGTTTGGAGCCCGCTGCTGGTTGAAGAACCAGGGTTCAATGCCCCAAAGCACCAGTCCAAACCGCCAATCAAGGGCAACCTGCTGTATGGGGAACATAGTAACCCCAAAAATCACCAGCTGGTTTAGTTTGAGGCCGTCAGGGTCCCGTGCCCCATCTCCCAGTTCAAAAAGAGAAAGTCACTGAACGAATTTATTGAGCAAACTCCAAACAAAAAGGATCGAGCGAGTCATGGGCGTCGCTTGGTCGCTATCAAGGTTATCCCCACCCTGCGAATCATTCACATAGCTGTCCTTTTTGGAAAATAGATGGGTTTCTCTGGTAGATGATTGAACCAGGTAAACCAGGAATCGCCTTCTATTTTTCTAGCAAAACCAAAAAGGACACCCTGCGAATCAAACAAACGGCGCTTTAGGGTAGTTGACGCGCAGTGGCCCATCATTCACGGCGGGTTTCTGGGCCTCTTGGGTTCCAAGGGAAGCCGCCGATCGCCCCCCTCCTTTTCATGGACAAAACCTGGGTGATTTCAACGGGAACCCCCTCCTCCCTCCTTTTCAAACAGGCAAAACCTGGTGGCTGTTTCTATTTTTGCTGGAAACCCCCCCCCCCCCCCGCCTTTTCAAAGTTGAAAGGGCACCACTCAGTTGGCACGGCACGGCGCCCCTCTTTCCGCCTGGTGGGCTGCCAGCGTGGCCCGCACCTCCTCGCAGCCGCAGGCCACCGAGTGCAGAACCCTGCGTTTTCACCGCTCGGTGCAAAATCCAAACACCCGCCGAGTGGGAGACATATCTTTGGGTGCCTGTACTTCTCCACAAATGCGCTGGGGTAGCCTTTGTTTCGGATGGTGGCCTGTGTTGAGGGCTTGTTTTCTCTCTCTTTGTTCGGATGGCAGATCATGGAACCCTAGCCTTTTAAAGGCGAGTAGTCAAGGTAGCTAGACCGTTTTTTGCCGAAAGACCATATTTTTTGCGCCTAGCCCTCAATACTTCAAACCTCACACTTCTGCTACCGAAGTGATCCTAAACTATGTGTTCCCTGGTCTCCCAAAAGCGGTCCAAAGTGGTCGAGGTCGCTCAACCATAAGATGGTTAGAGGCATGTTTTGCACTTCTCTGAAAATTCAACCTTTGCAAGCTTGCATGCCTTTATTCTTTGTGGCGATATGTGGTAGTATGTTTCATCCAACTGGCCCAACTCGCCAACTCTCAAGATTGCACTTCCGCTGGCTGAAGTAGATAGCATTGCTGTGCACACAAGAGCAACAGTTTTCTTTAGAGCGGCCTTGCATGCCCCGTGTTTTGTCAATATGCTTTTTCATAGAGTTATTCAGCCGAGGTGGTAACATGACTTGAGCCAAAAACAATGTATGATAATAGTGTCAAACGCGAACAGATCGGAAACGATTGCGCGCAGCTCACCACCAGCCCAGCACACGAAGCACAACCATTTCAATTGAAGGTTGCCCGGCATATGATCCTAGATTGTCCATGCTTTTTGTGTATAGCCTTTCCACGCCGTTTTATTGCCTTTCCACACCTCTTTATGGTCTTTCCACGGATTGTCCATGGTTTGTCCATAGTTTGTCCATGGTTTGTCCACGGTCATGTCATTTTCCAGAGCATGCATGTTTTTGAAGCTAGGGATCATGCGGACAGTCAATATCTTGAGCTAGCCGCTGAACAGTGTTCACTGAATTTGTGTTCAGACCTTTGCCAGAAGCTCAGAAAGTTCTGCATTCAAGGATGGCAGTGAGCTGCATGGTCAAAAACATGCATGCTGCTATAGTTAATGTGTCACATAGCCACATGTCTAATCCAATCATGAAAACAAATCAAACCGTCATTTGGAAAGCACATATCACGGGTTTTTCAAGTGACCTCACCTCACCAAGGAGCTACTGAAACTACATCCGCAGTGTTCCTGTGAGCTTAACTTCCAGGGGTCCACCATGTCCACTCGGACGAGGGCCTCACGATTTTGTTCATAGCCTTTGTGTCTCAATATAAAATATGCTCGAAGGCCAGGGCGTTGCAGGTAGGACAAGATTCCCCAGCCCTCCTTTTTTAAGGTCGAGGGACATTACGCTTGTAGCCTTTCGTTCTTGAATGGTCGAGGCCGTGAAAAAAGATTAGCCGAGGAAGCACTCGGGGTAGTCTGTGGGTTGTCTTCACTTTGGAAGGGGAACTTTCTGCTTGTCAACTCCACACATAAGGGATCCCGCGATTTTCGTAGATTTGATGTCGCAATCTGCCTTGCGAGGTGGGCACGTTCTGCATTGACTAGTGTGCCTATTT